CTTGAATGTGACTTGACAAAAGTTCCAACTGCATCCTCCAGATCTCATGGTGCCCTTTTGTAATCCCTTTATTAAATCATAAACAATATGTCACCATGCTGAGGCCTGAGGATGGGGTATTTGAGTATACAGTGAGATTCTGTCTTAAAAACAAAACAAAAAAAAAAAAACTTGTCTTTTTAAAAAAGTGTGAGAGGTGGTGCCAGAGTTAAATGGTGATATCCTGACTCAAAATAATAATAATAATAATAAAATTAAAGCCCCACCACCAGGAACAGTTACCTCTTTGTGATCTGTTGTTGGCCAGTGGGATTCCATGGACCTTGAAGAATTACCATGAATACTCTTGGTTTCTTGGAGGGTATTCTTGGTTCCTCTCCAAGAACTCGATGGTAAGACCCTATTGCTAGAGACACTTCATATCTGAGCCTCAGAACACAGAGAAATCAAGCTGGTATTCACCTGGAAACCTCAGTCCTGCTGGCTGTTTTCAGTGTTGGAAAAAGGCAGCCAATTATCTCACTCAGCTGTGAGCCCTGTGAGCCGCTGTAAGGATGGCCTAAGGAGACGGGCCCGGTGGTGCGATAATGGCATCAACGGTGGCTCTCAGAGTGACTAAGCCCAGTGTGATTGGATTTAAGGCCTGCTCCATGAGCTGGCCTCCATACCAATACTATCCTGCTCCATGTACCTAGTATTAAAACGACTCCTAAGGACTTAATGGATACCCGTTGATCAGTGCATCTCTCGACCCTCATCAGAGAAGCTTCTATTTGCAACAGATGGCAGTTAACACAGAATCCTCAACTAGTCAACCTGTAGAGAATGAGAGGCTGTGCTCGGCCCTAAATGGGGCAGTAGATATCATACCCTTCCCCGAGTCTCAGGGATCTTTGAGGAAGAGGGAGAGGAAAGACTAACAGTCAGAGGCACCAGCTGTAGTGCAGCACTCGGGAGGCAGAAGCAGGCGGATCTCTGTGAGTTTGGGGCCAGCCTGGTCTACAGAGTGAGTTGCAGGACAGCCAGAGCTACTCAGAGAAACTCTATCAAATAAACAAATAAATCTTAGAGATTGTGGGTGACTTAAAGGAAATGGCATGTTCTGGATACATATGAACCCACAGTGACAGATGACAGCATGCACAACACCTGTGCAAACACAAATCTCCTGACAAGATGCCAGCACGGAGGGGAGCACAGGGCCCACCCAGCGGTGGAGCTCTTGGCACTTGACAGCTGCTAGGAGAGGGTGGATCAGTTCTCCTCAGTGATGTGACTCCCTGCTGGGTGCGTGACACCCCAGGGCAGGTCCTGCTCCTGGGAGCTGTTGGACAATAGGAACTTGGGAAGGAAAAAAGGAGACAACTCAAAGTTGGGTGGGAAGGGAGGGTGGACATCACCAATACAGTGTTTGAAATTCCCAGAGTTAAAAGTATATTTTTAAATTAAACAAGTTAACAGGCATTAATGGGAAACTAGCGGAGGGAAAGGGCTGGCAACACACGAGCCCCAGACACTGCAGGTTCCCGCTTCTATTGGAAAATGAACCCTCTTCATGAGACAAGCTGTTTCCTGTGGCCGCACCTTCCCGCTCTGCTTCCTAAGCAGAGGGTGTCACCGTGTGACTTAGAAACTGTCACGGGGGGGGGGGGGTGGTTTTATATTCCTGTTTTAAAAAGCAAACCGGTAGCAAAATATACCAGCAAACACAAAACTTGGTCCACCCACTTCCCATATCTGTTGCAAGTTTACGGGAACCATCAAGGACAGCAGACGGGGACTGTGCCTGGCTGCTCTCCTCTGGGCTGGAAGCTTCAGTACTTCAAAAGCTGTCCCTTCTCACACAGGTCTCGGCTTTCAGGGCGGTGGGAAGACTTGGCTTGACCTCAGGGACAAAGAGTTAAGGCTCAGAACAATGAGAAAAACCTGGATGCAAGCCTTCTCTGCATCCGGTCATGGGACGGAGAGTGTCCCTGGAAGGCATGCCAGAGACCTGTCATTCCACAGGGCTCCTCAAGCCTGCAGAGAGGTCCTTCGGGAAGACATCACTGTTAGTCACTGAAGCTTCAGCATTTTGGAAGAGACATTTCAGACACTGAAACCAGAGCCACCCTGAGGCCACACCAGGTTTTGCAACCTGTGTACTGTTGGTAGTCTAAGGCTCTGAGGCCTAGAAGCAGAACCAGGCTTCCTGCATAGCACCAACATTAAGTAAAGGCCTATGACCAGATTTCCTGTTATGAGTTATGTAAGCCAGCCAGGGCTCCTGTGTTTCTGAAGACCACACCAGTTTCCTTCCTGGGAGACGACGAGCAGATGAAACGCAGTGTCATGAAGCACAACCCAGCACAGAGGACAGTCATCGTTGTTTTTGAGACGGCCTTTTATTTATTTACTTTTGGTTTTTCAGGACAGGGTTTCTCTGTGTAGCTTTGGAGTCTGTCCTGGCACTCACTCTGGAGACCAGGCTGGCCTCGAACTCAGAGATCTGCCTGCCTCTGTCCTCCAAATTCTGGGATTAAAGGTATGCACCACTACCATGCAGAGATTGTTGTTTTGTTTTTTCTCGAGACAGGGTTTCTCTGTGTAGCTTTGGAGCCTATCCTGGCTCTCGCTCTGTAAACCAGCCTCAAACTCAGAATTCCACCTGCTTCTGTGCCTCCCGAGTGCTGGGATTAAAGGCGACAGTCACTACCACCCAGCTTGACATGACTTTTAAAATCAAAACAAATTTTATGGTCAAGATAACTGCAATTAAAATTTATTTGCAAGTATTTGTGATCTTAGGAGGCAGATTTTAAGACCTATCTAGCCGGGTGGTGATAGTGTAATGTAAGCCTTTAATCCCAACACGCAGGAGGCACAGGCAGGTGGGTCTCTGTAAAACTGAGGACAGTCTGGTCTACAGAGGGAGTTCAGTTCCAGGACAGCTAGGGCTGTTATATAGAGAGAGACTCTGTCTTGGAAAAAAACAAACAAGACCCTGCCTTTAAAAAACAAAACAAAAAGTGTAACATTTCTCATGGAGGTATTCAGTGCACTTACCAGGATCAGCACAGGACAGTAGACAGACTTCTGAGACAAACTTCACACAGATCTTTCCGATGCTGGAACTCTCTCTCCTGTTAATCCTGGAGCACTTGTCATCCCGTGACCCACAATAGGATAATCTCAAGGGACTTGACCCCCAAGGGCACATACTCCTGTCCATCCACAGTCCCTGGGGCTGCCTCTCTGTTGACAAAGCCAGTAAGGCCTTGGCCTGAGGAAAAGGCCTGTTTGCTTCTGCTCTGCTCCTGTATTCCTCCTCTTACGTAACTCTGAGAACACCTGACACAAACAACTTTGGTGAGGAAAGATTTATTCTGGTACAGGCTTTCAGAGGGTTCACACCCCATGGGGGAAGACACGGCACTGCAGAGAAGTGTGCCCCATGGTGACCGGAAGCCAAGAGTGAGAACAGAGATACTGTCAGACACAAGGCACCTCCAAGGATCTGCTCTTGGTGAGCTACTTCCAGCCTGGTCTCCCACATGTTCTAGAACCTCCCAAAACAGTACCAGCAGCGGGGATCAGGGATCTATCTGCTTACTAAGGTCAGATCCTAAGATCAAGGCCATGAGCGATGCCTTCCCACAAGCCTGAGTCCTCTGTGAAAGAGGCAGTTCCTAAGCTTAGTGCTTAACATCACCAAAAGGTCCAACCCAGAGGAGAGAGGCCAGCAGAGATGCCATCTGCCAGCCTTGGTAACAGATTAGTTTAGGCTTTCCGCCTGGCTCATGTGAAACCACTCTTCAGAGACAGTAGCGGCCCTTGGTCCTGTGAGATGGCTCCTCAGCGGCTAAAGGTTCTCACCACAACCTGCTAGCCTGAGCTCAGTCCCTGGGACCAATGTGATAGAAGACAGTGACTCCTGTAAGCTGTCCTTTGGTTACACACACACACACACACACACACACACACAAACAGACACACACACACACACACACAAACAGACACACACACACACACAAAAAAAAAATACTCCCATACACTAATAACTAAAAAAGGAGGAGGAGGAGCTGGTAGCTTTGGCTTCAACCTGAGGGGCTGGGGTAATGAGTCTCAAGCCCCTGTTACCTGTTGCTGAGTCCTGTGCTTGTAGCTACTGCAAGCATCTGCACGAGGCCAGCAGCTTCTCCTCAGCTGCAGGGACCAGGAGTTTGTTTCCAAAGGTCCCTGGTTCCAATGCTACCACCCCTAAATGACTAAAGCTTGCTTTAGTTTCTCTTCCCTGAAACAAACAGCTTGGGATCAATGCCACCCTCACACAATGTATATACCTGGATGAGTCACCGAGCCACCAACTGAGGGGCAGAGCCCATCTGTCCAACAATGCCAATATACCTGTTTCAGGGTGACAATTCCGGGACAAATGATCAGAGCACTGGTGACATGGGATCTGTGTGGGTGTGGCAAGGCCCATCAGTAGCAGCACACAGGGTGACAACATTAGCTTCCTGCTGCTGACAAATTTCCAGAGACATCAACATAGAGGAGGAAAGGGAGCGGTCTCAAGTCCAGGTCAATCGGCTCCCCAATGCCTTGGATGGCTGGTCAAGTACCACCTCATGTCAAGAAGCAAGGGGCAAAGGAGGCTGCTTACTTTGTGGCAGCCAAGAAGCAGAAAGAGAGAGAGAAGGGGCTGGACTCCTCCTAGCCCCTACCTACCGAGCCGTTGGGAGACACCCAATGGGAGATACCACATCACCTCACACCTCTCTCTCTCTCTAACCAGGGTGATGGTGGCTGCCATGCAGTCTCTGGAAGCTGAGGGGTCACCTTACTTTAAATGATGACATCACTGTGATCACCAGTGACATTCCTGCATCGGGGCTTGGATCCCAGGCTCCCACCACCACCACAGCCAGCTGAAGGCCACTGGTCTAATTGTTTCAGTGAGACTTTATTCATAGTTTGACACCGCTGTATTCTGAATTGGTATAATCCACGACACAGACAGTAGGCATACAGTGTACCCACAAGAGCAAACCAGCTGGGATGCAGTCAGGAAAGGCCTGAGCATGTGCTCCCTTACAGCCTCCAGGGCCCTCACAAACGGGAGCTGGGTGCTGGCGGGTCAGGCCCAGGTGGGCTCCTAACTGCTTGTCTTCTTTTGCTTCTGTCTGAGCTTGTTCCACATCCTCTCGAGCGCCACTTTCCCCATGAAGAACGTGATGGCAAAATTACGCTTGTACCAGTCTCTACAGAGAAAGAGAGGCACCCAGTCAACCACAGGGACAATGCCTGACCAGACAGCAGCTCCCCTGAAGGGATGGTCTCCTGACTCCCTACCTCCACCCCAACCGGCCACACACGTCTATAGCCCAGTATCCTTGTATGGAGGACTCCAATCTTCCTCTGGCCCTTACTAAAAGATTCCTGAGACCCTCCCTGAATCCAGGGCCATTCTAGATAGACACTGTGGAACACAGCCTGGCAGGCATCCGAGGGACAGGAGGGTGTCCTGCCTTGGTCTAATTTATACACAGACACTGTGTTCCCCACTAGGAGGCTGTCTGGCCACAGGCCCCAAATCCCTTTTCCGGGGCAATAGGTCTCTATCCTCATACAAAGCCTGGTGGAATCTGTACAAGGAAGATGCGGCCTACAAGTCATTCCATGGAAGTCATTCACTAGTGGCAATTTCAGATCTAACAGTGAAGTCTGGAGGCTTAGTGGACAGAGGAAAGGCACATGCTAGCCCTAGTGCAAAGCCGCCCCCACCAGTTGTTCCCGGCCCTGAGCTACTGAACCACTTCAGCTAGGGCTGGATCCACTGAGTTCTTGGACTTCAGTAAGGAAGGTAAGAGAGGAACCAGAAGAGTCCTGAGAGTGACAGCACAGGTCACAGAGTGTAAGTCCCCCAGCTCCATCTGCACGAGAAGCTAACACTCACTAGCTGAAGCAGCACTTTCAATGACAAGCAACACCCGGAGTAAAGAGGAAAAACTTGGAGAGCGAGAGGGCGCTCCCCCAGGTCTCAGGCCAAGGAGAGCCACGCTGTCTGGTGATGCAGATGACCTGACCTGGCCATGTAGGTGAAGAGCCTCCTGAGAGCAGCTGTACACACAGAGCCTGTAGGGGGCAGCCTGGCTCTGTGTGCACAGCCTCCTGTGGCTGAGTGACTTGTTCACAGACGGGGGGACACTGACACTCATCCTGCCTTCACTGTCACCCGTGTTCTCTGAGGTCTTAACTCTGGCCACAACCAGTCCTGTCATTACTATAAATCTCAAGTTGCATCTTAACTTTTAACAGATACAACCAAAGGCTAAGACGATTATTTAAAAATCAGATTTATGAGGCCAATCATGGTGGCCCATTGATGTGGGAGGTCCTTCTGTATGCTGTGAATATGTGTGGCTTTTATTGGTTGATAAATAAACCTGATCTGGCCAACAGCCAAACAGAATACAGCTGGGTGGGAAATCCAAACAGAGCTACAAACAAAAAGAAGGCAGTGTCAGGAAGATGCCATGTAGCCACCAAAGAAATAACATGCCAGAACATTACCGGTAAGTCATGGCCATGTGGTGATACACAGATTAGTAAAAATGGGTTAATTTATATGTAAAGCTAGTTAGTAATATACCTGAGCCATTGGCCAAACAATTATAATTAATATTAAACCTCAGAGTGATTATTTTATAAGAGGCTACCGGGACTGGACAGAACAAACAAAAGCTTCAATGTACAGCCTACACCTTTAATCTCAGCACTTGGGAAATGGAGGTAGGCAGACTCAGTGAGTTTGAGGCCAGCGTGGTATACACAGTGAGTGAGACCCTTTCTCAAAACACAAAATCAACAAACCAAACAATAATAGTAACAAAAGAGCCACATAGCAGAGGCCTGGTCCACATAGCAAGTTTTAAGCCAATCAGGCTTATACATGAGACCTTGTCTCAAATTAAATAAATAGATAAAACAGGGGCAAAAAAGTCACCCCACCTTTAGATACCCTGTCCAGATATCTCAGGACTCTGTGGAACTCCCAATATTCGGGGCTGAGCTGAAATCATCAGGCTACTGTTTCAAAGGTCTTCAGCCCCTCCCCATACACATGTAGCCTTCATAGCCAGAAGAGACCCATGAGCTTTCGTGAGTACTAGCACAGACACGAGTGTGCACTGACATTTGCTGTCCTCCGCATGTACGTTTGGGGAAGGCTGTCTGACTCTGCCTTAGGTTGCATAGCCTTGCTGGTCCCTGCACGGCTCTCCTGTGGCCTTTGGCCTCTGCTGAACTCCTTGTTTCCATGCAGGCCATGTCCTGACTGACCTCACAGCTCCAAGGAATGACACTTGCTGACCTAAGGGCCAGGGGTGCCATGGGTGCTGTGCACACAGGAAGGGTGACAAGTTTAGCTAAAAAGGCAAAAAGTGAAGATCACAAAATCATGTGACCTCCACCTCTACTGAACACACGGAAGCTTTAAACTAAGGTAGGAAGATAAGCAACTGCAGGTGTGCTAGCTGAGCTTTCGGGAAGCCGCAAACACTCACCGGTTATAAGACATGTGCTTCTGGAAATTCTTACTCAGAAACTCCTTATAAAAGTCAGCCATCTCCTCTGCATCCAGTGTTGCTCTTTGACCTGGAAGTAAATCACAACTTAATGTAAGACTCGAGGAGAAGCCGCCTGTGATGGTGTGCATCTGTAACCCCAGAACACAGGTACAAGTCAAGGTCAGAGGTCATAGGCCAGCCTATCTCAGAACTACAAACACCAGGGGCCTGTGAAATGGCTCAGTGGGTAAAGGTACTTGCTGCCAAGTCTGAAGACCTGAGTTGAATCCCTGGGACCCAGAAGGTAAAAGGAGAAAACTGACCCCCACTGATTGTCCTCTGATCTCCACCTGCAGGCTACGGGATGTGCACCCCCCCCACACACAAAGTAGAAGGTTTCAAAGATTCTATTTTCTTTTATTTTTTTTTTGGTTTTTCGAGACAGGGTTTCTCTGTGTAGCTTTGGAGCCTATCCTGGCACTCGCTCTGAAGACCAGGCTGGCCTCGAACTCAGAGATCCGCCTGCCTCTGCTGGGATTAAAGGCATGCACCACCAACGCCCAGCTCTATTTTCTTTTTTAATTATGTATATATTTGTGTATCTATTTGTAGGTCTGTGCACAGTGGGTAGGCAGAGTACTTGCATAGGCCAGTAGGTGTTAGATGACCTGGGCTACAGTCAAGGTAGCTGTGAGCCACTTAACATGGTTGCTGGAAACCAAACTGAGTCCTCTACTAGAACAGTAAGAGCTCTTAAGCACTGAGCCACGGCTCCAGTTATTCCTTTCTATGTTTATTTTATGTGTATGGATGTTTTGCCTGCACTGTACATATCACTTATATGCCTGGTGCCCACAGAAACCAGAGAGGGTGTCTTGGGCCCCTGGAAGTAGTTACAGCTGGTTGTAAGTCACTATGTGGGTGCTGGGCATGGAATATAGGTCCTCCATGAGAGCAGCCAATGCTCTTCACTGCTGAGCCTTTTTTCCAGCCCAGTTTTTCTTGGTGTTGTTTTGTTTTTTAATGTTAAAAAAGAAAGAAAGAAAAGAAAAGGCAAGACTGGGGTTGTGGCTCAGCTGGCAGAATGCTTGCCCAAAGCCTTGGGTCTGAGCCCCAGAGTCACATAAACCAGGGATGGAGGCAGGAGAATCATAAAATCAAGTCATTCTGGATCAAAAACAAACAACAAACAAAAAGACCCAAAACAAAACAAAATGAAGGCCCAGCAGTTGTGGGTGGTAGCACATGCCTTTAGTCACCCTCAGGAGGCAGCAGGCAGATCTCTGTGATTTTTGGAACAGCCTGGTCTAAGAACTAGAGTAACTCTGTCTTGAAAAACAAACAAAACAAAAACCCTCCAGAATGCCTGGAGGCATCTGGCAAAGGCTTCAGGGAGGGGTGCCCCCAGCCAAGAACCTGTCTGAAGATAGAGGTAAGACACTGAAAGGGGAAAGTGAGCCCTGACAGAAAGGTGCAGGGCTGTCACAGTCTGAAAGAACCAAGTAGACCCTCTGTAGGCAGACCTGTGTAGGGGAACCTGTAGCCACGGCTGCTTAGGGGCTGGCTACAGGTGTGCCTACAACCCTCCTCTCCGCCAGCCCATGCCCCGCTGGACAGCCCTATGCTGAGGGCAACGCTCAAGACTGGCTCCACTCCACACCTGCTCTTCTGTGTTCAACCACAGTCCGCCTCCTGTTAGGCATGTGTGGATGATCTGCCATCATCTGTGCCTCAGTTTACCACAGGATGCAGGCAATGGTCTGTGTGTTGTGCATCCCTGCTAATGCACAGAGGAAGAACCAAGCCCTTGTGAGCTCAGCTGTGTTATCTATCCATTATGCTGACCACACACAATACTTTATGCACATGGCTCCTTTCTGGCTCAGCCTTCCTGCTGTCCCTCCACATAAAGGACTGTTCTGAGAACACCTACACACACACACACACACACACCACACACAAACACACACACCAGACACCACACACACACCAGACACACACACACACACACACCCACACACCCACACCCACACACACACACACACACACAAACACACCGACAGGTGCCCACTCTCCTTCCTACTTTCCTGCTAGTTTTCTCCAAGGGTCCACACACTGGAAGTGTGGTGTGAACCTGCCAACCAACCTGAACGCTGACCCTGCTCTATTGGCTTGTCAGCTCCTAAGGACGGGAACCAAGTTCTGCTCCACCCACCCCACCCCAGCGGCCTGCCTGTGTGAAGATGGGTAGTACTCAAATGAAGTAGGGGTACCTACCACCTGAGAGGTAAGGGGAGCCAAAGGCTCAAGGGAAGGTGAGTCGCCAGCTGGTCTTAAAGGACAGGCACAGGCAGGTGGCAAAAGTAGGACCAGGATGGAGCCGAGTGCACAGCCACTTTCAGGGTAGCAGTCTTAGCTGATCCTTAGAGAAGGGAGTGCCCTCTCCTCCAGCAGCACCTCTGGGCCTTTCATAGGGACTGTCAAAACAGAAAAGCTGTTCCCCTGGCCACAGCAGCACAAGCTGTTTCACTGGAGGGACAGGCTCTCACGGGTTGACCGTGTAGACGTATCTCGAGCAAACCATCACCACAGCCCAGCCTCACAGCAGCGTCTCTGAGGCTTGGCAGTATTTGGAGAGCTGAGAAGGGACTCTAGGTGGCCTGGCCATTGCTGTACTCAGTGTAGACAGGGAAGGGTGAACTGCAGGGTGGAGGCAGGCAGAGCTGCCCACACCTGATGCTTCCCCAAGGGGCCCTCAGACAGGTCTAGGGTTACCTCACCCCAACACCTCAGGCCAATGATGGGACAGTAGGAACCTGTAAATGCTTGACAAGACCTTCCTGCTCTACCCCTCTTGCTATTAAACTTAAAGCAAATCGGAGCAGGAAAGCAGGGTAGAGAGAGGGCTGGGGAACAGGAAGGGAGGAGGAGGAGGGAGCCATAACAGAGGGATGGAGAGGGAAAACTCACTTCATTACATCATTACTGAAAATGTGTGGGAGTCTCACAAATGCCATCTGACAAAGAGGATCTGTCTCCATGGCTCCCTCTTCTCTAGACGCACAAACACTTGTGCAGGCAAAGAAGGGGGGTGAGGGGGTGGGGAGAACTCTTTCCTGACCGTAGTCGACAACTGAAGCCAGGGCTTTCTGCTTTCTGCACCTAGAGTTAGCCGGTGCATTTCCCACAGAGCAGTAGAACTTGAAGAATTTCCAGGAAGCAGGTGGCCAGCCGCTCTACCTGGTCTGCAATCACATGGCATCTAGACACCCCCACTTTGCAATTAAAGAAAGCCTTTGCTGAACTCACTGCTCCATAAGAGCTTCTTAGAGATATTTCATAGCTGCTGCTTGCTTTCTTCTTTACATGTCATAAGGGGCGCAGCGAGATCCTTCTAGAAAAGGGCTAGGGACTTCAAGCTGCCATCAGCCACCAAAGCAACTCCAGCAGAACTGAGGGAAACTCCGCTATGAATTCAGAAAGCAGACTGGCTCCTTGCTGCCTGAGCTGTTTGTTACAGCGAGCTGCTTCCTTTTCACACTCAGTCGCTTGTCCATAGGTGCTCTTATTAAGGCAAACTGGTTGCAGTCTGTTTAAAAGTCCCAATGGCCCATGTCATCTTGGCTATAAACACCACCCATCTGCCATTCATGACAAACTGTGTGTTTCCTGGACACTGACCCCTTTGTCTGGTCAACCCCTGGGCCTCCTCCATCCCCGGTTCCCATGGCAGCAGCCAGGCTCATTCAACACAACCCCATCTCTGTTGCTGACCCACAGCCCAGCATGGCTGGAAGCCGGCCTGCGGCTGGCATCACTGGACAAAGGAATAAACAGGGAGGCAGAGGGCCAGAGTGCACCAAGCAAGAGAAGGGCAGGACAATGCGGGAGTTTTAGAAAGGAGTCCTGGGGTGGCCCTGCCCCCATGCCCAGGTCCTCAACAGCACCTGCTACAAGTCCCTCACAGGAGCCCAGCTGTTCGGAGGCTTTCAGCCCTGTGCTGCTGCTGTTTGGGTCTGGAATGCCTCCTGTGCCCTAAGAGGCAGACGGTATAACTTTAGACTGTGAAGTCGAACAGGAGGCCCCTGGGTCACTATGTGTGCTTTCAAGGGGGACTGGGGGACCTAGGTCCCATCCATTTACAAAACTGGGTCTTTTTTAAAAAATTACACAATTTATTTTTTATTTATGTCCCCCGGTATTTTGCCTGCATGTATGTCTGTGTGAGGGTATCAGAAACCCAGGAACTGGAGTCACAGACAGCTGTGAGCTGTCATGTAGGTACCGGGAATTGAACCCAGGTCCTCTGAAAGAGCAGCTAGTGTTCTTAACCACTGAGCCGTCTCTCCAGTCCCATGATTTTGTTCCTTATTGTTGTTTGTTTTTCAAAACAGCATTTCTCTGTGTAGCCCTGGCTGTCCTGACTTTGTAAACCAGGCCAGCCTTGACTCACAAGAGATTTTCCTGCTTCTGCCTCCCCAGTGCTGGGACTAAAGGCGTGCACCACCATCGTCTGGATCAGCTTGACTGTCTACCACTAGAAATGCTGGCTTTAGCTTCGAAGTCTATCAGTAGCTTATGCCTAATAATTTTTTAAAGATATATTTATTTATTTATCATGTATACAGTGCATGCCAGAAGAGGGCACCAGATCATATTACAGATGGTTGTGAGTCACAATGTGGTAATTGAACTCAGAACCTCTGAAAGAACAGTCAGTGCTCTTAACCCCTGAGCCATCTCTCCAGCCCGATGCCTAATAATTTTTAAAAAAATTATTTGGAGCTGGGTGTTGGTGGCGCACGCCTTTAATCCCAGCACTCGGGAGGCAGAGGCAGGCGGATTTCTGTGAGTTTGAGACCAGCCTGGTCTCCAGAGCGAGTGTCAGGACAGCCTCCAAAGCCACAGAGAAACCCGTCTCGAAAAACCAAAAAAAAAAAAATTGGAATGTGTATTCTAGAAGGAATAAATCTATTTTTTTTTTCTTTTACATCGAAAGCAATTCATTTTTCCAATATAACTTCCTAGACAACCCTCCTGTGACCTCAGCTCCTGGGAGTCTCCAAAGAGCCCTACATGTGAAGTATTTCTGAGCACATGTGTGTTCTCACCTACCGTGTCCCCTCGCCCATTTCAACTGCTTCAGCCTGGTAACTCTTTGCTTAACCCCGACAGAACAGGATGTTTTTAAGTGTGTATACATTATGGAGGCTATATCTAGCTAGCTAACAGGAACCTCCCCAGGCTGTCACTGTGGTGAGCAACTCCACATCCACGCTCAGCAGTTTCCAAGAACACCTTATTAACTATGCTGCTCCTACCCAACTGGGATTGCACGTCCTCCACGTGACTCTGAACACCGCCAGAGTGGTGACTCTGTTCTGTCCCTCTCCATAGACAATCTGTCCTCTTTCTTTCTTTCTTTCTTGCTTTCTTTCTTTCTTTCTTTCCTTTATTTCTCTTGGTTTTTTGAGACAGGGTTTCTCTGTGGCTTTGAAGGCTGTCCTGGGACTAGCTCTTGTAGATCAGGCTGGTCTCCAACTCACAGAGATCCTTCTGCCTCTGCCTCCAGAGTGCTGGGATTAAAGGCGTGCACTACCTGGCTCAGTCTGTCCTTTTTCATTGCCAAGTTAATTATAAATGTTACTTAAGGCCAGTCTTTCAGTACATAGCAGAGTCACTAAGAAGACTGTCATGTTCACAGGGATCAAAACAACTCTCCTGTTACAAGAACGGCCAATCTCTATTGAGATTAGCAAGGTCTTCTGACTGCCTTGGGTAGAATCTATTCTTTCTCACTGTGTGGTCTCAGGTCGGGCACTCACCCCTAGTTAAGCCTCAGGTTCACCATACATCATTTGGTCTTTCTGGTTGACACATGGAAAGGACTCAGAACAGTGCCTGGCACTCCATCAGGACCAAACTGACCTACCATTCACTCCCACACTCAGTGCTGGGTACAGCGTCCTCTTCTGTTGCTGACCCGCTAAGACACTGGTTGTCGGCACAGAGCAATACAAGCGGGCTAGCACCCAGACTACTCCTCTTGAGCCCTTCTCCTGAGGAAACCAGGAGAGTGATGGCACTTTGAACCCAATGACAGACTCAGCTTTGGAAGTATTTTTAATGGCTCTGGATTGTCCATTAGAATATTTTGATAGTAGGTATCTACTTAACAAACGGTATGGTGTGTTAGTAAGGTCTAACTTCAACACTAAGAGAAAATGGCCAAGGCTATTTTAAGTAAAAGAAATGGCAACCCAGACCTGGTGGCAAACCTTTTTAATTCCTGTACTGGGGAAGCTGGACTGAATGACTACCATGAACTCAAGGTCAGACCCAGCTACACAGTGAAACTTTGTCTCAAAAAACCAAAAGCCAAACAAACAAAAAGGAAACAAGCAAATCCAGCTGCCTGTGGTCTAGTTTCCTAGATGGACAAAGACCATGTCGTGAGGCAGCAGAGCTGTCCTGAGGGCTGGGCAGATGACCACACCTTTAACGCCAGCACTTCCGATCTCTGAGTTCAAGAACAGCCAGGGCTACATACTGAGACATAGTCTCAACAACGCAAATCCACAAAGGGTATGCATTTGGGGTAGAACAGTCTAGCTGTAAAGCAAAGAATGGATTTAAAGAATGGGTTGACAAAGGACATTTAGAGGTGAAATCTACTTTTTGTAAATTAGCCCAAGCTCTCTGTGTGCTTTACAGCAGGCTGACCGGTGCCAGCCGATGCGCAGGTAATCACAAGGCCCTTTACAGAGAAACATAAGTTAGCTTCTGGGAGCTGGTTGGGGACAGGAGTGGTGGTGCACACCTTTAATCCCAGAGCTCAGGAGAGAGAGGAAGGCAGATCTCTGTGAGTTCGAGGTTGGCCTGGTCTACAAGAGCTAGTTCCAGGACAGCCATGGCTACATGGAGGAACTCTGTCTCAAAAAACAAAACAAACAAATAAAAAAGACCAGAAGCTGTGGAAAACTGAGACACTGCAGTGTACAGAGAATTAACAGGGGCCTAACTTCAACAATGGTTACAAGACAGGGATGCAAAAGTGCTGGCAAACACACAGTTCAACTGGCCTGATTTAGAGGAAGGCTAACAAACAGCTCTCTGCTTTCCAGCCTGAGAATTGATGCGGGAATCCAGGAGAGTTGGGAAGATGGGAAGGTTAGGTGATGGGGTGTCTTCTGTACATACTGTTCTCTTATTGGTTGACAGATGAAGCACTATGGCCACTGAGGCAGGATGATGGGTGGGACTGGGAGACAAGGAGGATTCTGGGAAACATCGGCAGGGTCCGTCACCATGGAGGATGCAAGAGGAGTAACAGTCCAAACTCTTCCTCCGGTAAGAAAAGACCACGTGGAAATACTTAGATTATTAGAAATGAGTTAATAATTTAGACAGAGCTAGCCAATAAGAAGCCATCTTCAGCAGCCAACAGTTTCATAATTAATATAGCATCTGTGTGTTTATTTGGGGGACAAGGGCCACGGGACCTGCTGGGCCAGAAAACTCACGCCTACAGTTGGGAGATCACAGAGGCCTCGTGACCTTGGCTTGAAGTCACTCATCAGAAGGACAAAGGGATGTGCTGTCCAATGGCTGAGGCTTTACCTACAATGCTCAAGGCCCTGGATTCCATTTCCAGTACCATACAGAAAAAGGAAAATCAAAGGAAAAGGGAAGCCCTAAAGTCCGAGAGGCTGTGATGTCTCCTGAAGGAGGGAGAAAGAGGAGGGAGCCAGGAGCTTGTGGGAAGATGATGGCGCGCGCGCGCGCGCGCACACACACACACACACACACACACACACACACACACACACACACACACACAGGAAAGGAAATCTCCTCAGGCCAGTGAGACAGTAAGGACAGGACACAGAGGTTATCTGCCCCTCCACCTACCTCAAGCTCACCCCTGCATGAAAGTCCCTTCCTGTCTCTCTCTCTAAACCCCGTCCACTCAAGAGAATCCCCCAACAAAGGGAAGGTACCAAAAGCTTCCTTCCCTGAAGTTGCCAGCTGCCCAAGTCCCTGCCTAAAGCAGTCAGCTTTTGACCACACACTTGGACAAAACCCAGTTTGTGGCAGACACGTCATCACCCCTGGTCTACAACCTATATAACTCCCTGCTTTAGTTCAGGTGTGTGACTTCTCTGGCCTCGATCTCTGGGACTGGAGAATCTGCCCGGGAATTGCTTTGTTCAAATAAACCTGTGGTTATACTTTTTCAGTTCAGCTTGATCTGGCTTACTACATCGGCAGAGAAACCTATTTCTTCAGACATTAACACAGCACAAACTTACTGACCTGACTCGGTTCGCAGGCCCAAGCCTTTAGCTTGCAGTCTTGAGTAAATGAATTCTTCTTTTTCCTGCAAGACGACCATCAAAACTCTCTTAGCCAGGTGAACTTGGGGAGTGGAGACAGGGGATCAGGAAGTCAAGATCATTCTCAGCTACGAGATTGAGCCCACCATGCCTACATGAGACCCTGTCTAAAAAAATCAAAATAAGAAAAAAATTAAACCTCAACAAGCAACTGTCTTCTCAGCAGGAGTGGTGGCACATGCCTGTAACTCAGCTACTCGGGAGGCTGAGGCATCAGGGGTAACTTAACACGACTCCATCTCAAGGTACAATTAAAACGCTGGAACTATAGGACACCACCTGCCTAGTGCAAAGTCCTAGGCTTAGTCCCCAGTACCAAAAACAAGGAGAGAATGGTCTTCTTTAGCTTCCTACTTTTCTCAGTTAGAGCACAATGCTGAGAGATTTAGAGATTTCCTGAGAAACATCACACCTCAAAGCCTGCTTTTTAAAAGATTTATGTATGAATGTCTGCATGTATGTGTACAGCTTGTATGCAGTACCTGAGGAGGCCAAAAGAGGGCAACGTATCCCTGGAACAAGAATTGCAGCTTGGGGGGCTGGAGAGATGGCTCAGAGGTTAAGAGCACTGACTGCTCTTCCAGAGGTCCTGAGCTCAATTCCCAGCAACATACATGGTGGCTCACAACCATTTGTAATGAGATTTGGTGCCCTCTTCTGGTGTGCAGATATACATGGAAGCAGAATGTTGTATACATAATAAATAAATAAAATCTTAAAAAAAAAAAAAAAAAAAGAATTGCAGCTGGTGCCAGGCAATGGTGGCGCATGCCTTTAGTCCTAGCAACTCAGGAGGCAGAGATAGATGGATCTCTGTGAATTCAAGGCCAGCCTGGTCTACAAAGTGAGTGCTAGGACAGCCAGAGCTACACAGAGAAACTCTGTCTGGAAACATATAAACAAAAATAAAAGAATCTTGAACTCTCATAAGTGACAACCTATGACAGCAACTTTGCATTAACAGAAACATCATTCAGGACAGGAACTAGTCCTGGCCCCTTGTTAATTCTCTTCCCAGAAAATCTCAAACTCTGTGACTTACAATGGCCAAGGTGTCTTTCACATAGTTACGATGGTTAAAACAATCTTTTGATCTCCTTTTGTTTTATTTTGAGACAGGGTCTCACTATGTATCTCAGGCTATGAAGACCAGGCTGGCCTTGAACTACAGATCTCCTGCCCTTGACTCCCAAATTTTGGGATTAAAAGAATAAATCACAAGACCAGGCTGCTAAAGACACAATTAGGAAAAGACAAGCCATTCAATATATTCACACATCCCCAAACAGAACAGCAACCATGTAAATGCTGAAGACTTAGTGCCCCCAAGTGGCTGAGTGATTGTTCTTCACCTATCTGAACCCCACACTTACCTTATTAAAAGTCAAATTCTGGTTTGCCCAGAACTGCTGGTTCCATTCTTGAGTTTCTTGTCTCAATTCTCTGAGCCTTTGTTCCAAGGGGGACTCGTTTTCAGGAACATGAAAAAGAACTGGACGAAGGTTTGAGTATTTATCTGGGGGTCCTATCCAATCATGGCAAGACTGTCTTGGAGGGCAGAATCTTGAGACCTTTAAAGAAATGCATGGGGTTAACATGCAACTAAACCCGCCCCTGGATTTACTGTTATAAAAATTAACATCTATTTATTCCAGGCCCTCAACATCTTATTCCATGAAAGACTACAATGTATCCAATCATTTTTCCTAATTTTGTTTGGTTTTCCTTTTTGGTTTGGTCAGACAGGATCTAACTATGGCCTCAGCCTCACAAGTGCTGGTCGACACTAACACACCTGGCTTAATAAACATTATCGCCATTATACTGTTCACCAAGTGATGCTGAAACAGTTCTACATCTGACAGAGGAGGAGACCAGGTTTAGTGGGCAGGCCTGTCACTCCAGTTCGAAAGCTGAAACAGGATCATAGTTTGAAGCAAGCCTGGAAAATTTAGTAAACTGTATCTAAAGATTACAAGTGTAAACAAAGGCACCACAAATAGCTCTGTGGTTACAGTGTTTGCCTAGCACTCCCAAGGCTCTTGGTTCTATCCCTAGAACATCCAAAAAAATTTGTGTGTGTGTGTGTGTGTGTGTGTGTGTGTGTGTGTGATTTTGGTCTTCTGAAGATACTACTGAGGCCAGGTGATGGTGGAGCACGCCTTTAATCTCAGTATACAGGAGGCAGAGGCAGGCAGATTTCTAAGTTTTAGGCCAGCCTGGTCTATAGAGTGCATTCCAGGACAGACAGGGCTACATACTGGGTTTTCACAGGGGTGCTAAGGATCAAAACCTAAGCCTTCCTTGACCAATTAAGCCATCTCTCTAGCATTCCAAAGGCTTCTTTCCCCCTTGTGCCCATGTTGGTGCGTGTGGTATGTGTACATGTGGGCACACTCGTGTGCACTGTGCATGCAGAAGCCCAAGGCTGGCACTGGGTGTCGTCCCTTGTTGCTCTCCACCTTGTAAACTGAAGCAGGGTCTCTTGCTGAACTTGAAGCTCAGTTTCAGCTACTCCAGGGATGGTGTCTGCTTCCCACATGCTGGGATTACAACAGGCAATTACACTCATTCTCATTTACAGGGATCCTCAGGCTTCTGCAGCAAGCACTTCACCACTGAGCCCTCTGCCCAAGCCAGGCTGACTTACAGCGACTACCCTGCCACAATTGGGTGAGGTCCAGAAGCCCTAAGTGAGCCAAAAGTGGAGAGTGGTCTTCACATCTCACGTTCTGGGGACCCCAGCAGGCGAGCTCCGGAGTTTCTGAAGATCTACCCACAAAGGCTCAAACCTGGGATTGCAGGCAAGTAGGCAGGCCTGGGGTCCTGTGTGTGAACTTGTCAGGAAGGTGAAGAGGCGGAGTCGGGCAGGTCAGTGCTAGTGGAAACAGTGGAAAGCTAAGCTTGGCCGGGGAAGACAGCAAACACAAGGGACTGGTGAAGTGCTAAAACAACCAGTGCTGCTGAAGACTGCCGGACACTTCAGAAACCCTGCACAGTCCACACGCTACAGCCCACGCTGCCCTTCAGCCACCTGGTCTTCTGCACTTCCTGCCAATGGCTTCAAATCCCTACAAGGAGTTTTCACTGCGTAGAAACATGTTCTTTTCTTCTCACGGACTTCATCTGCATCAGGAAATGTTTAAAGAGCCACCCCATGTGGACCTTTAATCCCAGTACTCAGGAGGTAGAGGCAAGAAGAATTCCAGACCAGCCTGATCTACTTAGCTAGTTCCAGGCCAGCTAAGGACATACAATGAAACACTGTCTCAAAAACAAGTGAGAGGCAGTCAGTCCCAGCAAGCACTCTCTTCCTTACTGCCCTGCACAGCATGGTAAGCCCAGGATTGTCAGACTCCCTGCTTCAACAGATAGACCTGTGTAAGAAAAGTTCCAGTCACCCTGCTTTGCAGAGATACTTATCTTTGACCATGATGGGTTAATTCCTCTGCTTTTGCTACATGAAAATACTTTGTGTCTTTGTTCACCAAGCAGGTGCTATTAGAAAAGAAAGCAAAAGGCTTGGGGGAGGGAATAAAACCCTTTTGTAAAAGAAGCTTCCCTTTGTAGAGTGAATAATTACTATAATTTAAGCTCTTATAGTGCAAGAACATAATGCCTGGTTTCCTGGAACGTGGACAGGAGGGCTGTGCATGGGAAGGGGGGCTCCTTGTGGGCCATGTACCCTGCAGGGAGTCAGACAAGAATCCAACGTTTTCGAGAGGCAGCCACCCTGCCACTCCGGCCCCGTTTCCCAGCTCTCTTCTTCCAGGCAGTGCTGCACAGCCCAAAGCCAGGGTGGGAGATGGGACAACAGAGAGTGTGTATACTTGCTGGAGGCTTCTGGCTTACAAGGTTCCTCTGAGATGAGAGCACAAAGCCTTCACTGGAGTTGGGATGCCCAGCCCCCTACTGCATGAAGAAAGGTGATACACAAACCAGCAACCCAAATTCAGCCAACACAAAGACTGTCCCATCAGGTACACAAAGCTTTAATACTAGGAAAAGCAACACTCACAGAACCTCCTGCTGTCCTGAGTGCCATCTGCAAGGGAAAGCATGCATTAGCACCATCGCAGGAGTCTCCTCCCTGCAGGCCTCCATGTCTGCTGCTTTGTGACCTTTGTCTCTCCTACCGTCTGCAAGTGGGCACTGCAGTGCTGTGTGTCTTGGGGTGACTATTCCTGTGATAAAACACCATGACCGGGCTGGAGAGATGGCTCAAAGGTTAAGAGTTCAATTCCCAGCAACCACATGGTGGCTCACAACCATCTATTATGAGATCTGGTGCCCTCTTCTGGTGTGCAGATATACATGGCAGCAGAATGTTGTAGACATAATAAATAATAAAATCTTGAAAAAAAAAAGATTAAAAAAAAAAAAAAAAAAAAACACCATGACCAAAATCTACTTGGGTTTAATTCACTCACAGTTCCGAATAACAGTTCATTATCAACAGTGATGGCAGAAACCAGGAACCTGGAGGCAGGAGCTGAGGCAGAGGCCAGGGAGGTGAGCTACTCACTGGCATGCTCCACATGGCTTGCTCAGTCTGCTTTCTTATAGAACCCTGAACCACCAGCCCAGGAATGGCCCCACCTACTATGGGCTGGGTCATCCCCCATCAATCACTAATTAAGAAAATGCCTAGAAGCTTACCCACAACCTTATGATCTTATGGAGGCCTTTTTGTTCCATAGACAAGACTGGCCTCCAACTCACTGAGATCACCTGCCTCTGCCTCTGCTGGAACTAAAGGCATGTGCCACCAATGCCTGGCCTGAAGGCATTTTCTTTTCTTTCTTTTTTTATTTTTTTTTTAAGATTTATTTATTATGTATACAATGTACTACCTGCATGTATGCCTGCGGGCCAGAAGTGGGCACCAGATCTCATTACAGATGGCTATGAGCCACCATGTGGTTGCTGGGAATTGAGCTCAGGTCCTCTGGAAGTGCAGCCAGTGCTCTTAACCTCTGAGCCATCTCTCCAGCCCCCTCCTGTCATTTGACTTTAGCTTATATCAAGTTGACATAAATCTATCCAGCACACTGCCTAAGGACCTTATCGGTGGCGTTTTCCAACTCCCAATTCCCCATAAAAGCTTACAGTACTCTGACAGGAAGCTCCTCGAGGGGCCCAGTTTCAAGCTGCAGACTAAGTAAACTCCTTATGCATTTTCTAGAGGGAAGTGGCAGCTACAGTAACATAGTAAGGTGTTCAGGAACCCCACATTTTTATTGGGGGGGGTCAACCTGTTTTCCTTCATGACTACCTACAAACACCCAGGAGCACCAATTACCATATGAAACCTGCCTGCAGTCACCTGTGTGCCTCAGGGACCCACACAGGAAATGACGGCACTTACTAGACACACGACTCCATTGATGCTACAGCAACATATCACACAGCACGGTTTCCAAAAATGCAGAGGTGGCTTCATCAAGGGCCCTGTCTGTGTCCCCTGATAAAAAAATATCAAAATGGCCTGATCTTGGAAAAGTCAGGCCCAAAGGTCCAGAATGGTCTCCTAGTTGCAGAAAAGTTTAAAACACAATAAACAATCCCCAGAATAGGAAAGGGTGGGCTCCTGCTCTTTTTTTCTTTCTTTTTTTTTCTTTTTGAGCCAGAGTTTCTCTGTGTAGCCCCAGCTGTCCTGGCACTCACTCTGTAGACCAGGTTGGCCTTGAGCTAACGTTGGCCTCTACCTCCCAAGTGCTGGGATTAAATACGTATGCTATCACTCACCAGCAACATTTTAGGAAGTTAAAGGTGAAAAAGGATTTCATATAGCCTCAGAATTCTATGTAGCTGAAGCTAGCTTTGAACTGTTTCTCCCACTTTAGCTTCACGAGCGATAGGATAATGGGCATGAGCCACTATGCTTGGCTGACTAACGCTTTTGAGGAAAACCACAGCAGTGATGGCATACTTCAGGAGGTATGGTTCCAGTAGTGGACAACAGCCCTGTCCTGTACACAATTATTTTTTTTCTTTTGTAAATGATGAAGGTGTAAATGTCCTATATCACACTAAACTGTTGCTCTTGGGCTGGAGAGACGCAGTTTGGTGATGAAGAGCACTTAGCTGCTGTTCTTCCAGAAGAGCCAAGCTCTATTCCCAGCACGGGCATGGGGGCTCGGGTAGCTTGAATGTAACTGGCACCCATAATCTCATAGGGAGTGGCAATATTGGGAGGTGTGGCTTTGCTGGAGTAGGTATGGCCTTGTTGGAGGAAGTGTGTCACTGTGGGGGGGGCTTTGGGGTCTCCTATATATGCATGTATGTATGTATTTAGGTATACATATATATGCTCAAGCCACACCCACTATCTGAGTCCACTTGCCTGCACAAGATGTACAACTCTCAGTTACCTCTCCAGCGTCATGTCTGCCTGCACGCTACCGTGTCCCACCATGATGGTCATAGACCGAACCTCTGAATTGTGAGCCACCCTATTAAATGTTTTCCTTTGCAAGAGTTGCCATGTTCATGGTTTCTCTTCACAGAGATAGAGACCATAAGTAAGACAGGGGCTGACTATCATCTTTAACTCCAGTTCTAGAGGATCCAACACACTATTCTAGCCTCTGAAAACTCCACATGCACAGATACACGCACAGGTAAAAAACTTACACACATAAAACCACCTCCTAGCAGGTTGTGGTGGCACACATCTTTATTACCACACTCAGGAGGCAGAGGCAGGTGGCTCTCTGAATTTGAGGCCAGCCTGATCAACATAGCAGTTCCAGGACAGCTGGGCTACTCAGAGACACACTGTCTCAAAATATATAAGAACAAAACAAACTAACAAACAAAACCCAAAACTTGAAACAACAAAAATCCCGCTTAAAAATAACCAGGGTTGCTGTGTGTCTGAGGCCTTAGCCCCGAGTAACCCCTCCTGGTGGACACCATAACCCCAGGACTGGGAAGCTGGAGGCAGAGATGAGGTCAAGGTCATCCTCTGAGGCCAACAACACCGTCAAAGACACAATTGAAAAGCAACAGTAAAGAGAGACCAGGACAAAGTTATGTAGGTACTAAACGTGGGTCTCCTTAAAGCAAGACAACTAAAGTGAGCTCCAGGACAGGCTCCAAAGCTACACTGAGAAACCGTCTGGAAAAAAACAAACAAAAATGTCTGCTTTTTCTTTTCTTTTATTTATTTATTTATTTTTTTTTTTTTTTGAGGAGGTTTTTGAGATAGGGTTTCTCTGTGAAACAGTCCTGGCTATCCTGGAACTCTGTAGACCAGGCTGGCCTCAAACTCAGATCCGCCTGCCTCTGCCTCCTGAGTGCATGCACCACCATTCCCGGCCTTAGACTTTTTTCTTGGGGAAGGGGTGGTTAAAGATCTATTTATTCATTATGTATACAGTGTTGTGCCAGCATGTGTCCCTGCAGGCCAAAACAGACACCAGATCTCATTAAAGATGGTTGTGAGTCACCATGTGGTTGCTGTGAGTTGAACTCGGGGCCTCTGGAAGTGCAGATAGTGCTCTTAGCCTCTGAGCCATCTCTCCAGCCCCATTTTTGATTTTTCAAGCTAGAGTTTCTTTGTGTAGGCCTTGCTCTGTAGACCAGGCTTACCTCAAACTCAAGAGATCCACCTGCCTCTGCCTCCCAGATTCTGGGATTAAAGGCCGGCCAACATGCCCAGCTTTAACGTTACTTTTTTTGTTTTGTTTTATTTTTTGAGACAAGGTTTCTCTGTGGCTTTGGAGGTTGTCCTGAAACTAGCTCTTGTAGACCGGGCTAGTCTCGAACTCACAGAGATCCCAACGCCTCTGCTTCCCGAGTGCTGGGACTAAAAGCGTGCACCACCACCACCTGGCTTTAATGTTACTTTTCAGACTTGCTATTTACAAAGGACTTTGCAAGGCAACAATCTATCTTACAATCATTTAATAGCTCAGGAAACAAAAAAAAAAAATACGTAGTAACACATAAATTGCCCTTAGGCAAAACTGTTTCCTTTTGTGCCACCTAATATTTACCGTAATTGGACATTTAGATCCTAAATGTAGTCAGTGTAGAATTTCAAAAGTTCTGGATTGTAGCCAGCTCCCTTAGCTAGTCATCCCCACTGCTATCTTCCAAAGGGCGAGCAAGCAGCATAGACTTGCAACTTGGGTCTATAAAACGCTGAAGTGTTATCCTGAGGACCCAGACCCTGGGTAAGATTTACTTTTTGTTTGTTTTGTTTTGAGACAGTGTCTCACTTGGTTGCCCTGGCTCCAAGTTACTATGGAGCTGAGATTGCTACCCAGACCAGGCAGGCTGCCTTGTGAGTTAAAGGCGTTGAGCCACCACACCCGCAGCAAGACACTCTCTCTCTCTCTCCCCCCCCCCTCTCTCTCTCTCTCTCTCGCTCTCTCTCTCACACACACACACACACACACACACACACACACACACACACACACACACACAGACACCCCAAAGTAAATGCTTGGCTGAGTTACATTTCCCCTCCCCAAACATGTTCAGACACCTGTTTCGTTTTTCCTTCTGCCCAAGGACTAAAATTCTATTTTTCTAGAGACAGAAGTGAAGGCTTGTCTGTTTCTCGTGCCAGGGAACCGAACCAGAGGCCAGGAGCCCGGGCAACAAATCTTAACTGGAGACTAGACAGACTTCAAAAGCTGTAGTTCTAATAAAAGTGTTTCCGAGACGCAGCATAACAGAAATGGAAATTCACACAGCAGGCACATTTTGCAATTCTTAATTATCTCCCCCACACACCTTTTTTTTCCCCGCTGCGGCCCTTTAATTATTGCTTAAGCAACCCTCGCCAGCCTGTGTCGCCGGCCTGCTGGCAAATGCAGTGCGGGCAGCCATGGGCGCTGTCTAGTGCTCTCCACCTGAAGCCTCAGCCATCACTCTCACTGGCCCGGGCCTCCCTTAAACGAAGCACCGGCTCGGGAAGAAGGGCGGCGGGTTAAACAAAAGCCGAGCGCCCGG